GGAAAGAAGGGGGCAGAGAAAGGGGGGCAGGAAAAAGGGAAAAGGAGAGCAGGAAAAGCGGAAAGGCAGGCAGGAAAAGGAGGGGCAGGAGAAGGGAGAGGGGCCGGCGCGGCGCTCACCGCCGATGGTGCTCTCCTGGTACTCGTGGAACTGGCCCTTGACGAAGCGCAGCACCAGGCTGGACTTGCCCACGGCCGACTCGCCCAGCAGCACCAGTTTGAACTGGCAGATCTTGCTGGGCTGCGGCTGCCCGTTGGGCCGCGCGGCTCCTCTGCCCGTCATGGCCGGCTCCGGCTCCGGCGGCGGCTCCGGCTCCGGCGGCTCTCGCGGCGCAGGGGCGACGCGCTCGGCTCTCCTGCAAGGACGGGCGGCTGACGGCGCCGGATCCCGGCACTCGGAGCCGCATCCCGCTGGGGCGCCGGCACCGGGAGGAGGAGCGGCCGCCGCTCGGCCCCTTCGCTGCCCTCCCGCTGCTCCCCGCGCCGGCGGCTCCGGTGACACCGTCACCAGCGGCTCCGGAGCGGCCCCCCCTTCCCTTCCCTGCGCTCCTCGTCATTCCCGGGCCCGGCCGCAGGCGGAGCGGGATCTACGCGCGCGGCCAGAGCCGGATCCCGCAACAGCCGGGAGCAACAAGCGGAAGGTTGTTGGCTGCCGGTCGCCCTTCCCGGCTGCGGGGGAAGCGCCGCCGACCGCAGCCTTCCCGCGGCATTCCCAGGAAAAGGGGGACCGGTGTCCAGCACCACACGGAGCCGCGGGAAGGCGCCGAGGACACGAAGCCGCACGGGGCAGCCCGAGCTGATCCCAACGGGATCAACCTTTTCCCTTGGAAACACCGCTCAGCGATCCCGTGTCCAGACCCGTTTCCCTCCTGGAATTCGTTTCAATTCCCTTYGGCCAAGCCGAGCCCGGCCGCGCGGGACGAGCGGCGGCACCGGAGTCGCTCCCGCCGCGTTCCGGGATGCCGCAAGGAGCCGCTTCCCGCCCCGGCAGCTCCTGAGGGCTTCGGGATGCGCGGGGCGGGAATCCCACGGGACGCTCCCGTCGGGGTGCGTTCCTTGGGACGGGTCCTGCCTAAGAGCCGCKTCCCTCCGCGATCCGGCCAAGGGCTCCCAGGAGCCGCACGCGGTCCCGCCGCTCCCGGGAAGCTCAGCCCGGCCTGGCCGCTTCCCGGGACACCGGCCGCGCAGCGGGAACACCGGGAACATCCCTCCTGGACACGGGTGCTGGCGCGCGGGGATCCCGGGATGGGCCGCGGGACGAGCGGGAGGGATCGCGTCCCGGCGCCTCCGGCAGCCCAAGCCGGGGCCACCCGTGGCTGCCGAYGCTCCCGGCTCGCGCAGGGACAATCCGGAGGGAACGGGCCCCCCGCACGGCCTTTATCCGTACGGGATGCAGCCCGGACACTGCTGGAGCGCGGGAGGCTCCGGGACGGCTCCCGGCCTTCCCAAACGCGGCAGCCCCYGCGCGGGCCGGGATCGGACGGAGCCCGGCGGCGCTCACGGAGACRCCGGCCGGGCTTCCCGGCGGGAATGCACCGGCTTCCCGGCACACGGAGCCCAAACGGCAGCCGGCGCCCTGGGCTGCTCCGGGGGATCCGCCCGCGGGATTCCCGGGACAGCGCCACGGGGCTCCCGGCCCGGCTGCTCCCAATGACCCGAGAGGCCTCCTGGCTCCGGGCCCTGGGAGCGTCCGGTTGTGCCCGGYGCCCGCGGGAAAACGGGGCGATCCCGGGGGGGGGATCTGGGAATCCCGGGGGGGATCCTGGTGAGGATAACGGGGGATCCAGGGGCAGTAACGAGGGGGATCTAGGGGTGACAAGAGGGGGACYGGGGGGGAATCCCGGGGAGATCCAGGGAGAATCCTGGGGGATCGCAGGGCAGCAACAGTGGGGATGCAGGGGCGATTAGGAGGGGATCCGGCGGGAATGCAGGCGGGATGCGGGGGGATCGCGGGCGCTCCGGGCACCGGCTGCGGCGCAC